GAGGGGGGAGGGGGGCAAACCTTCGGCCCGCGGTCGGTCTTGCTCTATGTGGAAGCGCCTCTTCCTCTTCCCCAGATGATGGGAGAAGAGAAAGCAAGTTCCAGAATGTGCACCTTCCCTGTCGCTTTTTCTCCCTTGTGAACAGTCCACCTTGCCTGCTCTTAGTTGGGGGGGTGATTCCTTTTTCCCACCGGCTGTAAGATTAGGAAGTATCTTCTGAGTTCAGAAATGATCTTCCTCCTCCTGTCCTTCCCCACAGATGGTTCAGAAATTAACATCCCTCTCAGGAAGGGGAGGGAGGAAGCGCGCCTACTGTAGAACCTTTTACGTGTTAAACTGGACTTGACATTAAAAAAATTCTGAGTATTCACTATACTAAAAACATAATTAGGAGCAAAAACAAATACTGGAAACCCACCTCGGCTCCCATGCAAATCATGTGGAGATGATTATTGCCGTGGCTATTTATTAAGTTGGGGGATGTCAAGCTGAATGAATGATCTGAACAGATACGAATGAGTAGATAAGAACACAACTGTCTCTCTGGAGGGAGGGATAAAAAGATCCTTAGGTGTGTAGTGGCGCAGGTGGTTTTGTAAATATTCTAAGACTTCAGACATCTTATAGCTTTTATAAGGTCCTCTGGACAGTATTTATCATATTTTCATTCCTAGGGAGGGAAGGGAATTCTGCTTCGGTTTTTCAATTTACTTAATTTTTATTTCCCGTATGTAGGAAGTCAAAACACTGACCTCATTTCAAAACATTTGACAACCCCCAAAGATCACCGTCTCAGAGCTTAGGCCGTGAGTGTCTTTGTCAGAAGTTTTAGGGAGGTGAGCTGTGTCATAAGAAAGAAGCTGGTGCTATTTTAAAATTCACTTAGCACATCATTGAAACATATCATACACATATCATACCAATGACACACACACGCTGCATTGTAACATAGCATGTGTCATACATATATTTTCTCTCACTCATACACACATACTTGCTCTTCTTGTCCTGGCTTTTAAAAAGGAAGGCAGTCAGAGAGCCAAGCCCAGTGATCTGAGTTGGAAAGGCTGTTAAAGTTTAAAAACCAAGTGTCCCTCAGTTCTCAGCCTGGCTTGGGGACATGTGGGAGGGCTTCAAAGCTTCAGTGCCCCTCTTGCGGGCTCAGCCTTACAGTTGGTCCCCAAATGTTTACCAGCATGAAGATGCCTAACTTACAGGAAGTGGGAAATGGGTGTGGGGGGTAAGAGTGGGTGGGTGGGTAGGGAGTGGGGAGA